GTTTATAGTTAACACTAACCTGGACCAGAACTTAATTCACATCATACCTCTAAACCTAACTAGTAAAATTAACCATTACTGGTCTATAGTTAACTCTAACCTGAACCAGAACTTAACTCACATCATACCTCTAAACCTAACTAGTAAAATTAACCATTACTGGTCTATAGTTAACTCTAACCTGAACCAGAAATTAACTCACATCATACCTCTAAACCTAACTAGTAAAATTAACCATTCCTGGTCTATAGTTAACTAACCTGAACCAGAAATTAACTCACATCATACCTCTAAACCTAACTAGTAAAATTAACCATTACTGGTCTATAGTTAACTCTAACCTGAACCAGAACTTAATTCACATCATACCTCTAAACCTAACTAGTAAAATTAACCATTACTGGTCTATAGTTAACTCTAACCCTAACCTGAACTTAATTCACATCATACCTCTAAACATAACTAGTAAAATTAACCATTACTGGTCTATAGTTAACTCTAACTTGAACCAGAACTTAACTCACACCATACCTCTAAACCTAACTAGTAAAAAACAGCAGAGCAGCAAACAAAGACCTCACTTTGATAGTAACTACAGCACAAATGGTCCTCATTCTGTAGTAGAAGCAGGTACACACACACAAACACAAACACACACACAACATAAGCGAGCGCACACTTTGAAGGCCACAACATGCTATAAATGAATAGTTAGCAGGTGTGTGCACGTGACCTATTAACTGCAGCTGGGGGAGACAGCACAGCTGATGCATCATACACTAGCTGTCCCTCTGTGTTGCTCCAGCAGCCTCCCTGGGAAATCTGAAGTCTAAAACATAACATTTGTACTGAGGCTTGTGCATCTGGAGCACCAGTGTTATCATGGAGAACAGTCTGACTTGACTGCACATGAACATACTTCCACTAACAAAGAGAGAGCGCCACCAACAGATCAGCTGTCCTGGTAGAGTCCACGGTTGTTTGTTCTCCGTTTCTGCTGCCAAGTTCCAGGAACTAAACAATATTAACACTAAAGACATGTTTGAAGGCCCAAAATTACAGCCTTTTAACTTTTCATTTCGTTTCCAAACCCCTCACAATGTTCTGTCTGAGAGTGTCTTTCAAGAGTTCGTTGTTTATCACAAATATCTGAAATTTTCAAATCCCTACAGAATTCTAGCATCATAGAAAAGGTTCATGTGATTCTGGACGTGCTGCACTTCCTTATATTTGTACGGTGATGCAGCTGTAATGTGATAAATGTAATTCAATAAATGACCTAATGAGAAACATGTTATTTGTCTATCAGTCTACAAGGGTTGACACAAACAAGCAAAGACACAAAAGTTGTTTACGAAGTGTGCAACTCATTCAGCTGAGCTAGAACTATTTTATTATTTAATGTACATAGATAATTATGCTACTATTTAAATGTGTAACTGATTAATGTTGTTATTGACCTTGTTGATCCCTCATGGGCCAAAAACTGTAAATAAACAACCAATAATTACGAACAGTGTAACTGCAACCCAGTCAGTGTCTTATCAGATGTTTTACTAACTGACAGGGTTTCAGTAAATACACAAAGTGTAGTAAGTAACAGTAGAGTAGCACTTGGTTATGACTCTCAGCTACTACCATATCAAATATTAGCTCTGGTGGCATCACTGATTAGTTGTAACATTAGACTTTATTTGATAAATATTTATTTTAACTGTAAAATAAAGACTGTAAAAATACTGCAGGATGTTTAGTTTTGTACATTTTAAAAATATATTTCAGCACAGACGGGGCCATTTTATTTACACACAAAGCATTCTGGGTAAATGATGACGTGGATAGGTCCTCGGTGCGAGGCTGCTAGCGAGCTATATCCACCCTGAAGGTTAATCTTGGACAATATCTGATGATCGACTCTTTTAAATGAAACCAGAGAGCGTTGACAGAGAGGAGAAGGAAGAAATGACTCAGCCTGGAACTGAAAATATGGATGGAGGACAATAGAGCTGCTTAATGGCAGAACAACCTCAGATTAGCCTGTTAGCTTTAGCATTAGCCCCGACGCTATCACCATATATATGTATTAGCTCAGCGCTACACATTCTCCTCATCACTGAGGTCCTCCATCCACATGACAGAGAGGGGAACACAAAAATGACTCAGCTGCAACTGAAAATATGGATGGAGGACCTCAGTTTAGCTTGTTTGTCGCGCTAGCACCGAGCTAATACATATAAGGCAATATAGCAACAGCATTAGCACAAAAGCTAACAGGCTAATCTGAGGTTGTTCTTCCATGAAGCAGCTCTGTTGTCCTCCATCCATATTTTCAGTTCCAGGCTGAGTCATTTCTACCTTCTCCTCTCTGTCAACGCTCTCTGGTTTCATTTAAAAGAGTCGATCATCAGATATTGTCCAAGATTAACCTTCAGGGTGGATATAGCTCGCTAGCAGCCTCGCACCGAGGACCTATCCACGTCATCATTTACCCAGAATGCTTTGTGTGCAAATAAAATGGCTCCGCCTGTGTAACATATTTTTAAACTTTTAGTTTAAAAAGTATAAAAACTGAACATCCTTCAGTATTTTTACAGTCTTTATTTTACAGTTAAAACACATGTTTATCATATAAAGTCTGATGTTACAACTAATCATGGATCCCTGTAAACTGGGATGAGTCTGAATGTAGACTACACCCAATAATCACTTTCACTGATCCATGCAGTAGTTTGAGATATTTTGCTAACAGACCTACAAACACACATGGGGAAGACAAAATTCCTCCACATCAGAGGCTGATAAGAAGCTTGATGCTCACCTGTGTTAGCAAACGTTGACGTGGAGACCTGCCATGTCAGCAGAAGGCAGGGAGTGTGTCTGCAGGAGAAACACCAGAGAAAAGTGATGATAAACAAGTGTGAGCTAACAGACAGCAGCTGGGCCTTTCCTGACAAAAACACACCTTGCTGTGCCCCTAACGCTTATAAAACTAAGTAAAATGAAGTGTTGGTGCTGTCTGCTTCAGGAGGCCTCTATCATCATGTGTCTGCAACCTGCAGCTGTCACTGTACTAAACACACAGGCTAAGCTAGCTACTGTTAGCTTGTCTGGATACGACTTCACAGATGAAAGTCGCACTGAAAGTCAGGCTAAGCTTTAGTCAGAGATAAATGGTGTAAATATAAAGAGCCAACACACCTCAGTTCTCCTCAGTCAGACATGAAGTCTGCTGAGCTGCAGATCAGATAAACAGCCCTGTTAGCAGCTTCACTTCCCTGCTAACAGCTTACCGAGCTGCGGCTGCCCCTGTCTCTACACACCGGCTCACACAGCGGGTTTTAAATACACAATAACATGCTTACCTATCATTGTTGCCACTTATTTGTTGTGTCGGAGGATATGCTTCAACATCCCGCTGCCACTTCACAATCACAAAGGAAACTTTCACCGGAAAAGCTTCCTGTGCGTGGGACGCGACTGCCCACTTCCTTCACAACAACATCGTTCCCACAGGTTAGTCCGCAGAAAGCGGTGTGTCAGAGGCGATGTTGTTATCCTAAAATATGTTCAACCATCAACATGAAACGAAGAGTGAGGAGTCAATAACACTAAACCATTTGCCTCTGCACCACGGCTTGTTTATTCACCAGTTCAAGTCCTGCTCGGGGTTTGCTGCCCTCTAGTGTCCAACTGTGATTTATTCACAGAACCCCTGCTGGCCACTCATCTGCTCCAGGTCTGAACCAGGTCTGAACCAGGTCTGAACCAGGTCTGCACCAGGTCTGAACATGGTCTGAACAAGGTCTGAACCAGGTCTGAACCAGGTCTGAACCAGGTCTGAATCAGGTCTGAATCAGGTCTGAATCAGGTCTGCACCAGGTCTGCACCAGGTCTGAACCAGGTCTGAACCAGGTCTGAACCAGGTCTGAACCAGGACTAAACCAGGTCTGAATCAGGACTAAACCAGGACTAAACCAGGTCTAAACCAGGACTAAACCAGGTCTGAACCAGGACTAAACCAGGTCTGAACCAGGTCTGAACCAGGTCTGAACCAGGTCTGAACCAGGACTAAACCAGGTCTGAACCAGGACTGAACCAGGTCTGAACCAGGTCTGAACCAGGACTAAACCAGGACTGAACCAGGTCTAAACCAGGTCTGAACCAGGTCTGAACCAGGTCTGAACCAGGTCTGAACCAGGTCTGAACCAGGTCTGAACCAGGACTAAACCAGGACTAAACCAGGACTAAACTAGGTCTGAACCAGGACTAAACCAGGTCTGAACCAGGTCTGAACCAGGTCTGAACCAGGACTGAACCAGGTCTCAACCAGGTCTGAACCAGGTCTGAACCAGGTCTGCACCAGGTCTGAACCAGGACTAAACCAGGACTAAACCAGGACCGAACCAGGACTGAACCAGGTCTGAACCAGGACTGAACCAGGTCTGAACCAGGTCTGAACCAGGTCTGAACCAGGTCTGAACCAGGACTAAACCAGGACTAAACCAGGACTAA